ACGTAGAAGAAGAAAAAGCAAATTAAAGAGTGTTACGTAGGGGACCAAATATTAATTTACCTGAATATCGCAAATTCGAGATTCTCGAGTTTTCTTATCATTATCTCCTACTTGAAGAACCGCTAGAGTTGCTTCGGTCGGTAAACATACCTTTCCTTTTTCATTTCTTCCTTTTAATGCTTTAGGATGAGTTTAGAAATGTGAAGCAAAGGCTAGTTTTCTGTGAATCAAAATCTGAAACGGAAGGTTAAGAACAGTGGAGTGACGATGAAGCTCGATCGGAGAAAAGATGTAAAGTGAAATCTATGAGACTGATACGAGTGGAGGAAGTTTGCAATGGAGCTGATACAGAGGGAGTCATGGCGGTGGAATCGCCAGAAAAGTGGAGAAGAAGTTCAAATCGCGCTGTCGACATAAGAGAAAGAGAGGTCTCTGCACAAGGAAGTTGAAACGTCTCAATTTGAACCCTAGAAAAATTCACTCAAAACGACATCGTTTCTGTAGCAATTTCATTTAACTTCTATTTACTTTATTTTAGTTCATGAAAATATAATAAGCTGCCTAATGGAGATTCGATGAATGTGCAGTTGGACCGGATCTTGCCTCCCCTAGGCCCACGATGAATTTTTTGGAGCCTGGATGATATTGCACAAAAACCATTTCATGGACTCTAATTAGTTGGGCTTAGAACCAGATTTACTATATAATACACTAGTGATCAGTTTCCCACCCCCTGTTCATAATTTTTAGATTTTTTTCTATAATTTTCTTCTATCAATTCTTGCTAAATAGAATTAGTGAGTTTTAGGAGATGATAAAAATTACAAAATCAATAAAAATTTGTTAGATTTTTTTTTGGAGTTAATTCATGATTATTCGATTACTCGAGACTTGTGATTCATTTTTTCTTGTCGAGATTTGAGTCTTATGCCGGTTTGTTGTGTGATGTGTGGATATGCTTGAGTTTCTAATTGTGATTTATTTTCACATCAATGATGCTTCGACGGTTATCCCGAGTATTTGATTTCTGACTCTTTTCCGTTGCTTGGTGAAGCTTACTCGAAGTTTTCCGGGTTTCTCTACTTTTCTTGCTGTGCTACGAACTTTTGTTCATTCGATATCATTATGATTCTGATTTATCTTTCTGCACTTCACTGCTTTCTAGATATCATGAGAAGTAGGAAATAAAGAGTGTGCGCTTGAAGTCGCTGTTTAAAGTCCTATAGTAGGCACCGCTTTATGCATGTTATATGTGTTTGTTTAAAATCCAACCTTTGAAGTAGGTATTCCGCATGTGTGTTTACATTTGTGATCGCATCTATTCCCCCATCCCTTATTGAAGTCCTCAAAAGGAGGCGAGCGGAAAGGGTTAGACATAAACCCCTGTGCATTTTGTCTGTGTCATCCTTAGCTCGTGACGCACCACGCTGCTACAAAGTTATAACTACTCTTGTTATCGAGTCGTCAAGTGGAAAAGGGTTTCACAATCAAACCCCCACATTTTTTCTTGAGCTCACATCGGCTGATGTTGACGCTTCATATTTTTCCACTCCCCCTTACCCTTCTTACCTGGAAATACGATCCCATGGTACATATTTTGTTCCCACAGATAGCTTGTTTGCCTCGATTGATATGACCCCTTGGCTAAAGCTTCTGGTTTCATCCCTTTACCCGCTTGTTTGCCTTGGTTGATATGACCCCTTGGCTAAAGCATCCCTACTGTATTTTGTACCTACCTCAATCATTTATATCTTGGTTAGGCCTTTACCATAGTTAGTATGCACTACTCGTGGCATGTGTGTGCTCTCTTGAGCTTGATGATTACTTGTTTTCCATCCTTGTGTATATGTTTTCTTAGGTTGTGAACCTTTGGCATGTTCCCTTAGGAGCTCTTGATTCACCCTTTGGTGGTGATTCGAGATAGACGTAGGTTTAGGTTGTGAACCTTTGTTATGTCCCCTTAGGAGTTCTTGATTCATCCTTTGGTGGTGATTCGAGATAGACATTAGGATTGTGATCCATGCATGCTAACATAGGGTAGAGATTTCACTTTCAAAACTCCACCTTAGGATCAATCATTGTATGATAACATTAGGGATTAGATTCTAACTAGTTTCCTTTAGATGTTTTTCTTTCTTTTGCATACTTGCATTAAGACTAAAACTTTTTTCTTGGAAAATGCATAAAACATCTAACAACTTTCAAATCCTTTTTCAAGGTAAAAAACATCAACCAACGCAAACTCTTCTCGTCTTTGGGCCTTTCTTTCAAACTTCAAAAGGATGTGTTAATTCTACTCTACACAACACGACGCGTAAATCCCCAAAGGTCGGGTGGCAATATGTCTAAATTTCTAGAGCACGAATGTAGCATTATCCGCCTTCGGGCATTTTTTTTCTTTGCAAATATCTTGTTAGGTAGAACATGTTAATCCACTCCTGTGCTGACGCGTGAGTCTCCAAAGGTCGAGCTGCGGCAGAAGGCGAAATTAAGATTGTTCATTAAAAAACACAAAACAAATCAAAACATGTGAGCCGAACTACGGCGCTTTGATTCCTTAAAAGGGATACGTAGGCATCTGGCCGCGGGGTTAAGCCGAGCGAAGCTTTATAAATATTTCCTTTTTTCCCCGTGTTTTCTTTTGCATGCATTTCCTCTTTGCATTTTTATTTTAGCTCGTAAGCTTAGATATGAACACACCCTTTGATTAGAACAACATGAATGGATACCGTAGAGTACTACAGGCGTGTGGGGTGCTAATACCTTCCCCTCGCGTAACAGATTCCCTTACCCGATCTCTCGATCGTTCGACCTTGATTTTACCCTTCTCAGGTTTACTCGATGTTTACCTTTCCCTTCCCTTGTGATAAAAAACGTTTGATGGTGATTTCATCTCAATGATTTGTTCAACCAGTTATTTCAATAACGACGCACTAAAATAATGAAATCACAAAAATACAAAAAAAAAACACTAAATATATATGAAAATCACGCATTTAACAATAGAGAAACAAAAACGATTTAAAGTGATTTTGGATCAAAATCGATCCTAAATCACTCATTCTTTAAGAGATAAAAATCTATGACTCACTCCCTATCAAATTACATTGATATTTTGTGAGTCAAATAATTCAATTAATATATTAGATAAATTAGATCAGCGTAAGTTATTGATTTATAATTTTGTTCTTAACAATAGTGCTTTTTTTAATTTTTTTTAGTATATTAATATAAATAAGTAATTATATTTTAATAAACAACTTTAAAAAATAGCTATGACCTATAACAACAAAAAAAGATCAAATAATAATACATCTCTGGTTTCAAATAGAGTATGGGCATTAAGTTACTTTTTTTCAACTTAAAAGTAAGACAACTAAGACTTTTTTAATGTAGGATAGATTAAATTTATGTTTAAAAATATTATTAAAAAAGAAGCCTTGAATCCGAATATATTAATCCACAGCAGTATAGAGGTTTAACAAAATTAAAGTATTTTTTACATTTATTTAATGTAAAAATGTAATATTTGGAATAGTAGAGTAAGTTAGAAATTTCAAACTAAAAATTGTGTTTTTTTAAAGTATATTTCTAAACAAGTTGTGCATGTTATGTTTTTAATTGGGGGTGGGGTGTAGAAAAGTAGCCCTATATATCAAGTGGACCAAATGAATTTATTCTATTGCTCAATTTTGGCCCATGCAATTTGTGAATTTTGATTTGATTTGCAGACCTTTTTGTAGAGAATTTGTCATGGCACCCTTGGCAGTTGGCACCATAAAGTTTTTCTAAATAAAAAATATTTCTCTTATTTATTTTATTGAACAAAAAATTTAATAGGTCAATCAAAAATTTTGATAGATCAATAAAAAAAATCTGGTAGTTAATAAAAAAATTGGTAGGTAATTCAAAAAATCAAATATACATTTTCATTAGCATTTTGAAAAAAATTGGTAGGTCATTCAAAAAATCCAATATACATTCTCACTCGTATTTTGAAAAAAATTGATAGGTCATTCAAAAAATTCGATATACATTTTCACTCGCATTTTAAAAATATTATGTGTGACAAATTCTTTCCGCTTTTTTCAAAAAAAATCCTAAAATAAAATAAAACAATGCAAAAAAAAGAACTTTTAGATTTTTTTAAAAATTCAAAAATGACCATAAATTTATCGATAATTTTTAAAATGCCAGTAAAAAACCATATAGGATACCATATTTTGCAGAAATATTGATAAAAATACATTAAAAAAAATAATTTTATTAAACATTTTGAAAATACCGATAAAAATATATATAAAAAATTGGATTTTATCGAACATTTCAAAAATAAGAGTAAAAAAACACAGTTTTTATAAAAATTCGCTATAAATTTAAAATCGCCAGTATAAATGCATAAATTTAATAAACAAAAATGTTTACTTTTTAAATATCCTATAGAAGCTTAAAAAAATGCGATAAAAATCTAAGATTTTTCAAAATCTTTGAATAAAAAATTGAATAGTGAAAGTTGTGGAAAAATATTGGAAACAAATTTATTAACTTTAAAGTGCAAAATTTAAAGTAACTTTCAACTATTACTGCCATCGGATGAATCTCATGCTATAAATGGTGTCATATGTACTTAAAATAAATTGAAAACATAACAACAAAAACACACCACAAAACACCACAAAGTAACTTCATCTTCTCTACTGCCGCACGATCACTTGTCCATTGCATAAAATCATTGTAATCAACTCCAACCACCATATCTAGACCATTGTTACCTCCTTGTGTCTTCTTCTTCATCCACCTACCTTCAAGGTTTTGGTATCTTCCTCTTCCTGATTCTCTCAACTGCCTCCAAAGTTAGATTAAAAATACATAAGGTTAAATGAATGTAGGAAAATGCAAGAAGAAAGAAGGAAATGTGAGAAATAAGGAGCATATACCTCTTTGTCGTCGGAGGCGATGCCGACGCCGAGTCCAAGTTCCATGGTTGAATTGCAGAGGTGTTAGAGAGCATATGCACCTTTGCCATCGTCGAAGGCGATGAACACCTTTGCCATCATTAGAGGTGATGTCGTTGCTAGTTGCGTCGATGCCGAGTCCAAGCTCCATGGATGAATGGCGGCAGCGTTATGGAGCATATGCAAATTTTCTATCGTCGGAAGCAATATCGATACCGAATGTACTAATATCGATATCGGAGTCCAATCTCCATGGTTAAATGGTGGAGGCGTTGTCTTCTTAATATATTTCTCTAGCTCTCTCTCTCTTCTGTTTTTAATTTTAATCATTATTTTCAATTATATCGAATAGGCAATAATTGGATGTGTGGCATTTTGTGAAGCGTGTGACGAATAAAATAGATCAAAATAAAGAAATGTTATGTAAGTTCATAGTGCGCCTAAGAAGGGTAGATTAGGTTTTCTAGTTTTTTAGAGTTTTAAAGTGATGGTTCTTATTTTTTCTGAAGTATGTTTATGAAATTATGAAGTAAGATACAAAATTTAATGCAGAAAAATAAAGAACAAAAAGATGTATATTGGTTCTCCTTATCACCCAAAGATAAATCTATTCCTACAATATTCTAACAACAACAAATAAGAAAATCACTTCCTTTATTTTCAACAACACCAACAATTATGGTAGACTTTGAATCACCCCGATTCAAAGGATTTTTCCAACAAATAAAAAGACAAATTTTCCTATTTGCGAATACCTGTAGAAAGTACAATCATTTTCCTTACAAATAAAAACCACACACTTGGTGAAAAATACAACAAACAGATGGAATTTTATACATACAACTTTATAGTAGACTTATCAAGCTAAGATTTTGCTACTTTTATAATATATATAAAAATTCAATCTTCTCCTTCAATGATAAAATCAAGATGATATAAACATATAAGAGCTCAAGTATTTTCTCTAAATTTTTCACATATGAATAAAAATTATGCAGGAAAAAGTTTTTGTGTTAAATATTACAAACACTTGAAAAACATAAAATTATTCATGAAGAAGGTAATTTTGAATTTGAAAAATCTTTCTATTTATAATGCACCAAATACCTCTTGAAAAACATAAACAATGATTGAAAAATAATCCTTAAATCATGCAATCCATAACGTTCAAAAACATTGAAAACTACACAGTGACAATCGATTGCATCGAGATAACAATCGATTGTCATGCTCGGAATTTCCATTTATTTTTTGGCAGAGATTTTGAGCAATCAATTGCTTCCATATGACAATCGATTACTTCTATAAAAAATATAATTTTTGCTAAGTTAAAAGATGAAACTTGAACCAATGCATGCTTAAAATTTATGATTAATTCTTGAGCACTTTCTTTATGAACCAATCCATATCTTTCAAATCTCTCCCCTTCTTTTGCAATTTTTGCTACGATGCCTTTGATATCCTGAAAAACAACAAAAACAACCATCTATCTTCTTCTCCTTTTAGGCATAATAAAAGTTTTAAAAAAAGTAAAATTCAAAGGAGTATAATAATATAAGAGAAATGATACATTAACATGAAAGAACTTATCTTCTTCACAATATGATTTGATGTCGATCATTTTCAAATCATCTTTAACCCAATGAAGATTTAATTCTACCATATCGCATGATTTTGTATCTTGAAATATCAGACAATACTAGCATATGATCTTCAAGTATCTACAAAACAATTAATAGTACTTTTTAGGTATCCAATTTCCCCATCTCTCGATTTAAAGATTGGATCAGGTTTTAGATTCCAATTCTTGTTTCTTAGATATTTGTTAGCAACAAAAATTCTAACATTATTTTTAAAAAATTTAAAGGTTGTAATTTGTGAAGGCATCTTCTTTGTCTCATGTGTTCATATCTTCTTATTAAATAGTTGGAGAGACTCTATATATCATTTTAAGAGTATCCCACATTTTTAGCAGATATTCTTAAAACAGGTTCTTTACTAGGTTTTAAAATTTTAAGAGCACTATAATCATAAAAACATCTCTAAAAGATGAATTCTTATCTATCTAACTCAAAAAGTTAGATAGAATTATCTTTAATATAAAATGTCTTGAAAACAATAAATAATTACGTTATTTAATAAATGTTAAAATTAAATAGAATCTTGTGATTAGTTAAAGATATATTACTCAATTTTTTGTAATGGGTACAGAAGTTATCCTCTTTCTAAAATATAAATTTTAGAATGTTTATATTTTTCTATGAATTTGACACATAATTATAATTCAATTAGTGATTGTGTCACACGGCAAAAGCAAAGATTCACGAGTTGTACTCCCAATTTTTTACTATTTTGCTTTTATATTGTTTATTAATTCTAATAGATGAAAAATTAAAAGTTGCACATGTTCATTCCATAGAAGTTATTGATATATAATTTTTTTTTTTTACAAGATATGTGTTCATTATAAAGTTGTTGTTCAAAGAATTACTTCATTAAACTAATTAATATGAATTTCTTTATATATAGAATCTCTACCCACATAAATTTAAGATGCAAAAATCATATTTTTACTATTTAATTTGTTTCTCTTTTCTCTAGTGTATGAGAGTAATTTAGAGAATGTTACCGTGTAAAATATCATCGATCTATATGATAGATATTAGTGCAATTTATATCAAAGGTTTCAAGATATTTTGATGATTTGTTTTTTTTATTAAAGGGTAATTTAGTGTTTATTATATTTGGAATATTTTCTCTTAAGACTTAGGTGGCATACTTATCTTTGTTATCTTTGTGCATAAATAGGTGTACTAGGTTTCTTAATATTAATTCAATTTCTTACCAATCATTTATAGCAGCTTTTATCATTCATCATTTTCTCTCTTCTTCTTCAATTTCATCACCTTGCACCAACAAATTGGTATCTAGAGCTCTTGGTTCTTCTGAAATTCTGGGAAACACGAGTGAATCTGAGTTGTTTGTTTGATTTTGGTTCTTGATTTCTGTTGAATCTTGAACAAAATCTGAACGGAATCACAGTGATTCTGTGGGTTTGGAAAACACTGAGTGAGATCTGAGATCTGATATTTGTGCAAGGTTTAAGAAGAGTGAAGGCAGTAGTTTGAACACTAAACTCCCAGTTTTTGATGGCAAAACCTGGAACATATGGATGATACAGATACGTGTACTGTTTGGTGCTCAAGATGTTCTGGATCTTGTTACCAATGGTTATGTTTCAGTTGCAGCAGATGCTACTGAAGAACAAAGATCTGCAGAAAGAGCTACGAGGAAGAGGGATCAGAAAGCTCTGTTCTATATCCATCAGTGTGTGGATGAAAGTGTGTTTGAAAAGATTGATGATTCGACGACGTCGAAAGAGGCATGGGATATACTGGTCAAATGTTACGGTGGTGACGCGTCAGTGAAGAAGGTGAGACTTCAGTCCCTGCGAAAGCAATATGAGAATCTCAACATGAAAAACAGTGAGAAAGTTTCTGAGTACATCTCTAGAATGATTCTGAACACTAATGAGATGAAAGCTTGTGGAGAAACACTTTCTGAACAGGTAATCATAGAGAAGATTCTGAGGTCGCATACTCCTCAGTTTGATTACATTTTTGTTTCTATTGAACATTCTAAAAATTTGGAAACCATGAGAATAAAAGAGTTGCAAAGCAGTCTAGAAGCGCAGGAGTTGCGTCTGACTGAAAGAACTTATGAGAGGGAGGTTAATCAAGCTCTGAAGGCTGCTTTTGTCAATAAGGACCAGAATAAGATTAGACGTGGTGATAAATTCCAGAAGTCAGAAACCTCAACTTCTAATAAAAAGAAATATCAGAAGGGAAAGGAAAGGTATGACAAGAAGAAGATTCAATGTTACTGTTGTAAACAGTTTGGCCATTTTGCCAGAGATTATAGAAACAGGGGAAGGAAATCAGAAGAAGCAAATATAGCCAGAGGAGATTCTGATGATGAACCTGTGCTACTGATGACCTTTAATTCTGATGGAAAATGTTCAGAAGATTAGTGGTATATGAACACTGGCTGTTCAAACCACTTGATTGGGAACAAACAATGGCTGATAGACTTTGACTCCAGAAGGAGAACAAAGATCATATGTGCTGATGATAAGTATCTTAATGCAGAAGGTATGGGAAATGTCAGAGTCAGAGTGAAGAATGGAAAAAACATTTTGATCAAAGATGTTTAGTTTGTCCCTAGAATTAAAAGCAATCTGATGAGTGTGGGTCAGTTTATTGAGAAAGGATTCTCAGTTGTTATGAAGAACAACCTCTTAACATTATATGATTCCAATCAGAAGTTGATTATGAAATCTGAGCAGGGAAGCAACAGGACATTCAAGGTGAATGTAGAAACAGCTGAAGCAGAGTGTCTTAGTGCAGAAGACGCTAAAGGTGATAGTAAGCTGTGGCACAAGAGGTTAGGGCACTTGAACTATAGAAGCTTAGGGCATCTAAGTTCTAAAAAGCTTGTACATAGAATTTCGAAGATTGTGAAGCCTGAGAAGTCATGTGAGATATGCATGAAAGGCAAGCAACCCAGATTGCTATTTGCATCAGAAGTAGCCCCCATAGCGAAGCATGATTTGGGAGTAGTATATTCTGATGTGTGTGGACCATTTCCAGTATCTTCACTTGGAGGAAACAAATATTTTGTGTCTTTTGTGGATGAGGTCACAAGAATGACATGGGTAACACCTATCAAGTTCAAGCATGAAGTGTTTACTGAGTTTCAGAAGTTCAAGGTGAAGGCTGAGAAGCAAAGTGGTCAGAAGTTGAAGATTCTGAGAACGAATGATGGAGGTGAGTATAACTCTACAGAGTTCCAGAAGTTATGTAAGGAAAATGGAATAGAACATGAGGTTACTGCTCCATATACTCCTCAAAACAATGGTCTTGCTGAAAGAAGAAACAGAATATTGCTTGATGTGACCAGAAGTATGCTGAAAGAGAAGAAGCTACCTCACATGTTATGGGGAGAAGTTGTTGCCACATCAGCATATATTCTGAATAGGTGTCCAACGAAGAAGCTAAAGGAAATTGTTCCTTTAGAAAAGTGGACTGGAGATAAGCAAAGTGTTAGCCATCTGAGGGTGTTTTGGTTCTGTATGCTACAAACATATTCCAGAAGCTAGAAGGCGGAAACTAGATGTTAAAAGCAAAGTAATGTTACTGGTAGGGTACCACAGTACAGGTGCCTATAAGCTTTATTGTCCAGAAACTAACAAAGTTGAAATCAGTAGAGACGTCATTGTGAAAGAGTCAGAAACATGGGATTGGAATAAGCCTCAATCAGATTCTGGTGTA